ACGTAGCTGATGCGATCTGTGCCGGTGAGCGAGAGAGGTAGAAAGAGAGAGGGAGCGAGGGAGCGAGGAGGCTGGACGGGGAGTCGTTCCGCGCGTGGCGGACGTGGCAACTCAATCCAGCAAGACATTTCAGAGGGAAGCCGCGGAGCTTAGGATGCATTGGAAGGTGCATGGCCCAGCGTTGGCGCCTCGCGCGCCATCCCAGTGCCCCTGCGGTGGTGGCCCTGAGGCTGCGGCTTCCCAGCTCGGAGGGCACCAACTATACACCAACACCGATCCTGGCCCAGGGTCACCCTGGGCCCAGGATCGGTGCATATGCCTTCTTGCGCAAGGCAGGAGGGCGTATACACCGATCCTGGGCCCAGGGTGATCCTGGGCCAGGATCGGTGTTGGTGTATAGTTGGTGCCCTCCTACCAGCGAATGGAGCCAGCGCGGAGCGGAGCATGCCCGTCGCCAGGGCCTCGGCAGCGGAAAAAGCGTGGGCAGGCAGTGGTCGGCCCAGTCGCTGGGGAGGTGTGCGTCAGGAGGGAAAGAAACACACAGACACAATTAATCGTCGACTCCCAGGAAATCTGCAAAAATATGGGAAGTTGGGGGGAAGACAAAAAACCCAAACATATGGGAAAATATGGGGAATCTTTTTATTTGTGTGTGTGTTTATTTGTGTGTCCTGGGGCCCCTTCAGTGCGGCCCGAGGCCGCAGTGGATTCGCCTGCCCGGCGCGCGGGGCCTCCGAGCGCGAAGTCGCCTGGGCTGTCACGCGCGGTGGTGTCGTCATTGCGGTCGGTGCGTTTTGCCTCCGGTGGTTGTCTCTGCAGGGCCTTTTCTGCGCGATGCCCCGCGGTCGACCCGCTCATGGCAGCACCGGATGAGGAGGCGGAGGAGGCGGAGGAGGAGGAGGAGGAGGAGAGTAGGCGGAGGAGGGAGTAGGAGGAGGAGGAGGAGGAGGAGGAGGAGGAGGAGGAGGAGGAGGAGGAGGAGGAGGAGGAGGAGGAGGAAGGGAACGGGCGAGCTCGCTCTCCTCTCCTCCGCCGTCTCCCGTCCAGAGGGCGCGCGGCGGCAGGGCCCTCGTCTGCGATGTCTGCTCGGCTTCGGTTGGCCGCGCCGCAGCCTCGGCCCATCGCAAGGTCGTGTTATGTGGTGGGATGAGTTCTTGAAGCTTCGCGTGTCCCCACCAGCCCATGCTGAAGCGATGCGCGCAGGGAGCAAGCAGTGGGACAGAGGGGGGTGGAACCATCAGATCGAAGTTCCGGATTCGCCTGAGCAGACCCAGGAATTGACCACAGGTGCCTTCGCAGATCTTTCGATACGGGAGCCTCTTGGAAACTTGTCTGGGCCAACTCTGGCTTGGAGCCCTCCTGTTCGTCCTCGGGGGGGAGGCCTCTGGGGCTCTCTATTGGGGGCCTCTTGGTGCTCTCTTGGGGCCCTCTTGGAGGCCTCTTGGAGGCCCTCCTGGGGCCGCCCTGGAGGCCATCGATCGAAGAGGGGGGGGGGGAGGGCTCCATGGGAGCCCCCCCCGGCGTCGGAGCCCGGCGCATCCGCCTCTATGGGTCCTGGGGCCGTCGTGGGGCGCTCTGTGGCCCATGGAGCGCCCCAGGCGCGCGGGGCTCGTTTTCACAGGCGCGGCCATCAGAATGTGGCGCGAGCCTCCTCCCGAAAATCCATGCCTCCAAGACGTAAACTTTGGATTTGCCGGGGGGCCTCCCAACAACCGTCCGAGCGGGAGCAACCAGTCTATGGGGCAGGGGCGCTCTCGGGGCGCTCTCGGGGCCGTCCTGGAAGCTCTCTCTGGGCCCCTCTTGGGGCTATCCTTACGTCGGGCGTGTCCCTCTACAGGAGGAATATCAAACAATAGTCAAAACAATGGCCTGGGGACGATTTTCTGACAATGTTTGAATATTTTTGGGGTATCTTGTATTTTTCGTCCCAAATCCGCCTGTAGGGGGACATGCCCGACCTAAGGGTAGTGGCGCTCTTGGGCGCTCTTGGGGCCGTCTTGAAGCTCTTCTGGGCCCCTCTTGGGGCTATCCTTGGAGCCATCTTGAGGCCTCAAAAGACAAGTGGAAACGAACGTCGATGAGGCAGCAACTATTTACAAGCCCGTGTTCTTGGAAAGCCGTGGCTTCTCGGGGGCGATCTTGGGAGGCTCCGAGGCCACCTGGAGTGGTCTTCTTGGCGGTCTTGGGGCCTTTTTGAGGCATGCTGGACGTTATATTGAACCATCTTGAGCTATATGATGCAATATTGGAGGCCATTTTGGGCCATCTGGGGCCATCTTGAAGCCATATTCGGCCCAAACGGATCCTCTGACACCTCGGCCCCCTCCCCCCCCCGGGGAAGCCGCCCCCAGAGGGAAATAAAGGGGTTATAGTGGTTCTCTCCTTCAACATCCCTTCGTCAAGCGATTTCTCATCGTAGACAGCGGGAACTCTCCATGGGTAAGCAGGCGTGGCAACCTTCGATGACCTCCTGGAGGAAACCGTCGTAGACATCAACGAGGTGCGCCGCCGGCGCCAGCACCCCTCCAAGTGTGTGGCGAAGTCGGCGAAGTTGGAGGGATAGAACGGGAGATGGGGGAGGGGGAGGGGCACGGATATTGCAGGTGCAGAGTGAGAGGGACTGAGATGGAAGGGCGTTTGTCGCGTGAGGACCGGGCGAGACAAGGGTCGCTTTTTCGGCTGGGGGAGGGGCCCTCGTCGCCACGGCTGGACGCAGCTCGGAAAAGTGGTGCCCTCGCGTCTCACCTCTTCCCTAATGCGCTCCCACCTCCCCGCTGGGCTTAGCCGCGGGGAGGTGGCACGACAGGCTTGCATGGCTGCAGGATGACCTGTGACCGCCATGGGCAGCAGCAGCAGGCCAGGCGACGGGGCCGCCGTTGTCTCACCGCCGTCATCGCGACTTGCCCTCTTCCGAGTCTGGGGAGGTGGAGCGGCACGCGCCACCGGAGGCTAAGGAGGGGTGCTTATCCCACTGTGCCCTCGTGCGCGCGCGTCGCGAGGGTGCCGGGCACCCGCTCTCTGCACTCCCGGCTGGCCCTCCCTTCGCTGGCGCAGTTCGCACCGCCGCGTCCCAGCTCTGCCTGACGGCTCTGAGCCTTTCCGCGACGGCTGGCAACGAAGAGTCAGCATTGGACCAGGTCGGCGCCAGTGCAGGCGTCCCTATTGCGCAAGAGCTCGTATGGGCCACCGCCGCAAAGCCCCCGAATCGGTGCGGAACGCCTGGTACTTTGGAGGGGGCGCGTGGGTGGCGCACGCCTCCCTGGTTCCTGTCCGAGGTTGGACGAAGGGTGGGAATGCTCTTGTGAGCACAATCAGAAACGAAAGCGCGCCCTTCTCATAAGTTTCAGTGGCTTATCGACCAGGAGCTGCTGGTTGGAACCAGAGTCGGAGTCGGAGCTGCCAGGGTGCTCATTGACCAGAACTTCCTTTCAAAAATAAGCAGTAGGGCTGCAAACGTAGTTGGTGTTTTCTGGCACCCCATCGCATTTAGTTTTTGGCCACCCTCCCTCGTCAGACCGCCCTGCCCTACCCCGATCCATTTCTGTGCGCTGACCCTCTCTACCATCCCAAAAACTCGCCCTGATCCCTTCCTCACGCCCTACCGCCGTCCAGCTCTGACCCCCTATCCCCCATCAGCCAGTCTTGCTGGCCCAGTCCTCCGCCTCTCCTCCCCGATTCGCCCACATCCTTCCCGCAGTCTGCCTTCCTGCTTCCCCTTGTCCCTCCACTGTTTCCGTGGAGGCGCTTCACTTGACCACCTCCCTCGTCCTCCCGCACCCTGCCCTTTGCCCCGGCTTCCTTCAATCATCCTTTAATCCCTGTGTCCCTGCCATCGCCCACCTGCTGGTTTACATTGCGCTGTACCTCGTGTCCTCATCCACTACCTTTCTCCATCAGTCCTCTTGCGATTCCATCCGCCGACCCCATCTCCCTGGCCAACCGCTCCGTGCGTGGCTCCCCACCCCATGCCCGTGGGCCCCTCGACCTCCTCCCTTCTCCTATGCTCAGTCTTCGCCTCCTGCCTCCATTGTCCATCCTCCCAGGTCCTGCAGCCCGCGCGGCGAAATGGGGACCACTTTCGGCTGAGGGGCTTCGGTTTCTGGGTCACTCCTCGGGCCCACGAAAGGAATTTCGTTTGTGGTGGAGGCTCGCAGTGACCCGAAGAGACCTTTCGATCAACATCAGCCACGCGCAGAGGGGGTGGGGGGAGGGGGGAGGGCTTCTTGGAAGCACCCCTGCTGCTTAGAAGGCGCGGGCCTTATCTATAGATGTAAGGCCGGCGCCTTCTAAGAAGCAGCCTCCTTCTAAGAAGCCCCCCCCCCTCCCTCCACCCCCTTGTGCGCGCCGCCAACAACAATCAATGCTCCTTCTAGCAAGACCTTGTCTGCTCACGGGCGCTTTCCGTCATCATCGGGGTGCCGGATCCGGCGTTTTGGGGGACCGCCCTGGCAGTGAGGCCCCATTCCTCGGGCCCACGCCAGGAATTTCGTCTGTGGTGGAGGCTCGCCGTGACCCGAAGAGACCCTTCGATCAACAATCCGTGCTCCTTCTAGCAAGACCTTGTCTGCCCACTGGCCGCTTTCCGTCATCATCGGGGTGCCGTGGCTAGAGGAGGATAGAGGAGGAGGAGGAGGAGGAGGAGGAGGAGGAGGAGGAGGAGGAGGAGGAGGAGGAGGAGGAGGAGGAGGAGGAGGAGGAGGAGGAGGAGGAGGAGGAGGAGGAGGAGGAGGAGGAGGAGGAGGAGGAGGAGGAGGAGGAGGAGGAGGAGGAGGAGAGGAGGGAGGAGAGGAGGAGGAGGAGGAGGAGGAGGAGGAGGAGGAGGAGGAGGAGGGGGAGGAGGAGGAGGGGGAGGAGGAGGGAGGAGGCGGGAGGAGGCGGGAGGACGGAGGAGAAGGAGGAGAAGTGCGGAGGATGTGACGGAGTGGCAAGGAGGAGGGAGGAGGATAGAGGAGTAGCACCGCAACGGGAGGACCGCCCCGGCAGTGAGGCCCCTGTGCTGTGTTGGCTTGCCTTGGTCCTCCCGCTGGACCAGAGGCAGGCTCTCGGCAAGGTGCGGCCTCCCGGCGGATTCCCTTGCCGATCCCCTCGACGAGGCACTGGGCCGATGGCCTTCCCGTCCGCTGCGGCCGTGGCGGAGCGGCGCTAGGCCTGCTGGGGATCCCCAGGGGGCAGCGGTCCAGGCGAGGCTGCGGCGGCGGTCGAGGCACGTCGGGGGAAACAGACCAGGCTGTTGCAGCAGAAGGCCGACGCGGGCGGCAGAAGACCGAGTCTCTGGCTGCCCGAAGCGCCCGCGATAGTGGGCTTGAGTCGGGCAGCGGCGACACGGGTTCCTAGCTCGTTTTGCTTTCATCATTGCCTCGGTTGGCTTGGACATCCTGACGCCAAGATGGCCCCAAGACGGCCCAAGATGTCTTCCAGACGGCCTGAGATGCCTCTTAGACACCATAAGAAGACTCCAAGAGCACCTTCAGAAAGGACAACAACCGTGTTTTCCGCAGGTTTTTCAATGATGTTAGCGTTCTCACCTTTGGGGGTATGCGACGCTCCAGGACATGCCCATATGTCCTGTCCCCAAGATCGCCCCAAGACGGCCCAAGAGGCCGCCAAGAGGCCCACCAGACGACTCAAGAGGGTTCCAAGACAGCCCAAGAGGCCCTCAAGACGACCCCGAGACGGCCCAGAGGCCTCCAAGATGCCCCCCAAGCGCCCAAAGAGGACTCATGACTGCCCAGGAAGGGCCCAAGACGGCCTCCGAAAGCCAAGAGGCTCCCAAGAGGCCCCCAAGAGGTCCCCAAGAGAGTCTCAAGAGGCCCAGGAGGATTTACAGGAGGCCGAATCCGTGAGATCCTTGAGATACTTCAATGATGTTAGCGTTCTCGCCTTTGCGGGCTTTCAATGCTCCAAGACCAGCCAATGGGCCCCAAAGATCGCCCCAAGACGGTCCAAGAGGTTCCCGAGAGACCCGCAAGACGGCCCAAGAGTCCCAAGAGGGCCCCACGATTGCGCGCACGGCCCCCAAGACAGCCCAGAGACTTCCAAGACGGCCCTAAAGCGCCCAAATAATGACCCACGACTGCCCAGGAAGGGCCCAAGAGTGCCTCCGAAGGCCCCCAAGAGGCCCCTAAGAGATTCCCCAGTAGAGTCCCCAACAGGCCCCAGGAGGACCTCCAGGAAGCCGACATCATGGATTTGTGTGTAAATATTTTTTCCCATGATGTTAGAGTTCTCGCCTTTTCGGGCTCACGACGCTCCAAGATGGGCTCGGGGGCCCACAAGGTCGCTCTAGGACGGCCTGAGAGGCACCCAAGTGGCCCGCAACACGACTCAAGAGCCCACGAGGCCCCCAAGACGGCCCCAAGAAGGCCCCAGAAATTTCCAAGGCGGCCCTCAAGCGAGCTCAAAGACGGCCCCTGCAGGCGAAAAGGGCTTATAGAGGCCCCTGAGCGGTCCCCGAACGGCCCCAGGATAACCTCACCCAAGAGGCCCCAGGAGGCCCACCCTCCCCCGGGTCCAGAATCCGAGACCCCCCTCCTCCCGGCGGGGGAGGGGCCATGATATCTAATCAGATTTCAAGGCGCCTCTTCTTATCCCAAAACGTCCCCGCCCCCTCCGTGGTCCGCGCGCGTGCCGCCGGCCATGATTGGCGCCCTCCCCCCTTGGGGCGCCCCCCTCCTTGGACCCCCCCGAGAACGCGGACCAAACCTTTTGCCGTGATTGCCTTGCGACGCGAGCATGCCTGGGACCTGGGAGCACGACGGCTTCCGGTGCCTGAGGCCGCCTGCGTGCTCCTCGGGGCGTGGGCTCTCTACAGGTACGTCTGAGGCCTCCTCCCTGCTCGCTCCTCCGCGGTCGCCCTCGTCTTTTCCGCCCGCGCTTGCGTGCCCATGGCCCAGCGCGGCCCGCTGGCTATGTGGACACGTTAGCCTCCGCTCCGCTGCCGAGAAAGGTTTGTTGTTGTTGCTGTTGTTGCTGTTGTTGTTGTTGTTGTTGTTGTTGTTGTTGTTGCTGTTGTTGTTGTCGCTGTTGCTGTTGCTGTTGCTGTTGCTGCTGTTGTTGTTGTTGCTGTTGTTGTTGTTGTTGTTGTTGTTGTTGTTGTTGTTGTTGTTTTTGTTGTTGTTGTTGTTGTTGCTGTTGCTGTTGCTGTTGCTGTTGTTGTTGTTGTTGTTGTTGTTGTTGTTGTTGTTGTTGTTGTTGTTGTTGTTGTTGTTTTTGTTGTTGTTGTTGCTGTTGCTGTTGCTGTTGTTGTTGTTGTTGTTTGTCTTGTGGTTTACTTCAGAGACAACAAATGCGCGTGACTCACGGTGTCCAGGCCAGCAGTCTTGCGTCGCGGTGGTGCAATCAGGGATCGCGCTCTCCTCCTCCTCCTCCTCCTCCTCCTCCTCCTCCTCCTCTTCCTCCTCCTCCTCCTCTGTCTTCTCCTCCTTCTCGTCCTCCTCCTCCTCCTCGTTTCGTTTCGTTTCGTTTCGTTTCGCTTCGTCCGAGGTGGCGCCGCAGCCCTGC